GAGATGTGGCTCAAATTCTGAGCAGCCCATCAGCAATTTAGGACAACAAACTGCACTTTTTCTCCTGCTCTATGCATCAAGATTTTACTACTCCACAGCCCAAGTGGGGCCAGGTGGCTGGGTCCCTCCAAGGGCCAGGCACCAGAGGGGGATATGAACTGGATACATGACGGATTCTTCACCAAAATATTCCTCAAAAAAAAATCTGAAGCGGAGGATAAACAACTGCAGCTGTCAGAAATATAGGGCAAGAAAGATAAATACTGGACAAGCTGTTTCTTGGACTTAKATGTTGATTATTTTTTCCTGCTGAGATGCACCCGAGCAAGATGTGTCCTTGGCACCTYACAAAAACCAAGTGAAGCAAGAAGGTCACAGTCCCAAACCCTGCTCTTGTTGCTGCTTTTATTTCCCTCTTTGCTACAGAAAGYAGTGAGAAACATGGATGCAGATGTGAAAACAGAGAGTTTGATCTTTCATCACCTGGTTGAGCAACTGATGCAAGAAGTATTTACTGGCAGCACCTGTGGCAATAGCCCCACATGTTGTAATGCTGGCACACCCCACAGCATTTGGCCCACAACACCTCTGCAAGAGAAAAGTCCTCTGTGTTGTGTGTTAGTGAAAGAGGTSATTATGTTACAGCACAAATATTTACCTATAGCCCTTCCTACAGCTGTTCACAAACAATTTTCCCTTCAGAGAATGTCCAGACTTCTGGAACTCGGGATTTTGTTTATTATTGCWGAGAGAGCGGTAATGGAGGTCCTCCAGCACTTCCATGTTAGAATACTTTGTTTTCTGAGTTATTTATAAGTCAGGAAAGCTCACCCATTTGGGCTGAGATTTCCCAGGGAGGGCCTGACGGCTGGAGTGTGGCTCCATGTGTGTAAACTCACACAGAAGTTTCTCCAAGCTGGCCACGGCTCGACAGAGGCTTCAGTTACACCACCACCTGCTATTTTTTTTTCTGCAGAACATGCCTGCCTTCAGCACACAAGGTGGAGAGTTTTCAAATAAGGAGTAGCTATTCAGCACTTTCTTTCTTCCTCTTGGGCCTTAAGTTTCCTTTCAGAGCACATTGGCAAGGAATTTTTTAATTATGCAGTAAAGAAACCGCAAGTTTCAACCAAGCATCTATAAATTAAATAAAGTTACTCTTCACACCTTTAGAATTAATTCAGCGGAGGAAAAAATGGAAATATTTCATGGGCATCATTGCACWCTTCCCCTTTTTGTGGAAGGCACAGCACATTTGTTTTGATGAGCTACACATAATTCTCCAAAATAAGGAACCATTGTAGTTAATAACTGCGATGCAATTAAATACTGATTAAAGTTCCTCTTCCAGCATTTGTAAATCCRTCTGCAGTGTAATTGGCATCCCAAATCTTGTGGTGAGCCACAAAGACTATTAAGGAAAGCTAAGAGAGGAAATTGTAGTTTTGACTTATATTGGTAATCTGCTTTTACTGGCTTACATTTCATTCAGGGCTGTATTAGAGAAGGATTCCTTGGATCTTTGGGATCCAGRCCCTGCAGTCTGAGAAGATGGGGAAATAAGCAGGGCAGAAACCAATTGCTACCATCTGGGTTGGCAAAGCYTTTGTTTGAGAATGAAGATCAAAAACCTAGAATAAGAGAATACTCCCTTCCAAAAGAGCAGCTAGGAAGATGTGAGATTAGGAGGAAAAGACTTTAGTAAGTGTTATGAAGGATGAATAGTCTTTTAGGGAGAGATTTAAGAGGTTTAGACTCAACTCTGGGCCACAGCTCCTATTTTACATGGTCTTGGCCTAATCACCTGCTCTCTCTTTATCTCAGTTCCCATCTGTGAAATCACTGTAATCTGTCTCATGTGCACTCTCAGACTGAGAGGCTCTCCACACAGGCAGTGTGTAGTCCCTGTCCCAGACATGCAGGGCACACCTAAACCTGCTCTGCTCGTGCCCTGCGCTGGCTGCTTGCAAGCAAGATCTGTCCTGGAAGCCACAAAGGCACATTCAGATAACTTACAGCTGAATTATTGCATCTCCCAGGTTCCAGCTCACTCTGCCATGTCTGACAGCCCCCACCATTGTTGGTGGATCCACCCACCTTTTTATTCTTTTGTACAATGTCCCAAATTTTTGTTGGTTCTCTTTACTACAGCTGAATACAAGGTCTAATAAAAGTTAAGATTAGTAAGAGTTACACAGCACTGAAAGCAGACAGAGAGGTTGGAGACTGCTGGGTTTAGTCACAGCTCTCTGTAGGGTCTTGGATAAACAYTCACCTTATTCTGCTGCAGCTCCATGTAAATAACACAGGGGTGACAGCTCCGTGGCAGAGTTAGAATTAAACAGCATAACTCCAAAACCTTTCAAAATAAGCTACTGAATATTTTCCAGATATTATTGATTAAATTTCCAGAATGCTTTCATGTCAATATGAATTTTGTTTTTCCAAGTCCCAGTGTTTCATGACTCATTTAATGCTATTCTAGATTTAATATCTTAACCACCTTGCACATGTCTGACACCTGTGTGGTTTTACATGTTTGGTGCTAGCAGTAAAGCCRGAATAAGAGGGGGTTTTCTCCTTTGAAGGAGTGGGAAAATAGAGAAGCCATATGGTTCAAAAAGCYACTCAGCCTGATGAAGTTTGTGCTTTCCAGGGCACAAACAAAAGAGCTCCATCAATTTGACCTTCATCGTCAAAACTGACATGCAGTTGGTTTTAAAACACTGCCTCCTTCTCAAAAACCAACAAGGGATTGATTTTCTCTCAACCAAAAGTATTTTCTCCAAGACGAACGCGAGCATCTGGTCAATGCATTAAATGTCTGGGTCTTTTGAAAGAGTAAGTCAGTGATACCTTGTGTTTACTTGCAGAGCTTGACAARAAAGACACAAGGGGAACATTTGTTTTCAGGGGAAAGTGCTCCAGTGAAAAGCAATCGGTTTGAAAYGCTGCATGAATGCAACTGTACCACTGGAGACAGGGGACATAAGTAATCCATCAAAAATGGCCTCAGCAACAAGAATGCACAAGGGCACACTGTGAAACGAGAAAAGAAGGAGTAAAATAGTCTAAGCAGTACAGGGTTTAGCCACTATTTACAGCAAGGATGCATGGAAATGAACGATACCTCAGCCCATGTGTCTGTCACAGATTTAGGTTAAAGTTACCCTGTTCCTGGCACTTGGTGATCAGTATTTGTTTGCACAGGATTCAATCTCACATCCACAGAGGCCAGGGGGAGCTTGCCATTTCCTTCCATAGATGCCTGATGAGGCTCTAAATAACTGGTGTTTGTGCCCAGGTTTTTCAGTGCCAAGTATAATGAAAACTATTGTTCTTAACACAATTATATTTGATAATCCAATTTCCTTGAGCAACTGAATTGGAGTTTTTGTTTCAATCTTTCCTGMATTCTAGTCCAACTTTTACCCTGTGCCTCCTGGCTTTTTGCTTTCATTTRCTTCTGTTGTACTATGAAAAACAGGCAGAGCTTTCTTTGACTTAGAGATACCTCGATGACTCTTTGCCRTGGAATAATGGAATGATGTGATCTGTCTTGGCCGCTGAGATAGGGCCATCATTCCTATCTTTACAGAAGATACAGGATGACACAGAAGATCAAAGACTTTGGCAACCTCCACCTGCTGCAAAAGCACAAACTGGACTTAGGGAAGCTCTTTCTCCACACCAAACAGTCTGGAAAGSACATCCAGAAGGAGTYAGTGTAGACATGACTMTGTAAAACCATTTTCACTCRACTCTGTTCAGTGTGGCACATTSAAATGGATGAAYGTGGTTAAGAAGGTGAATGAGGAARACCAAATCCTCAAGCTATGTCAACYRTGACTTTTGCAGCTCTGTCCCACCGATGTTACAGGGGCTGCCAGAGGGTTTCCCTCACAGAAGCTCCCCTTTCCAGATAAGGTATTTCCATTCTGGTCCCTTTCTTACACTGGCTGTGCAGCAAAGTGCTTTCTCTCAGAATCACCCTGTTATCSGGTGATAATCCTCCAGCAAGCAGCACCAAGGGTTTGCTACATGCCCCAAGTCTGCAGCATCCCTTCTACTGCAAAGGGGGAAAAGGAGAAATAGAACAAACCCAAGCCAAGATCCAACCAACAGGCAGCTTAAACTGCCCTAAACTCTGTCCTCACCTCCACCATCTCAGAGAAACAGCTTTGAAGACTGCATTCTTGGCATGCTGATCAGGCAACAGGGTGAGCAGGACATCTGATCTCACCCTGCTTTGCAACCCTCCCCTTGGCTCCCTCAGCATCCTCGAGCACACTGATTTTCACCCAGCTCTTWTCACAGCCAAGCACCAATGAACAGATTTTTGTGGCAGCCGCCACAAAGGAATCTCTGGTTTACTCAGAGAAGTGTCTTTGGGAGTCTTTGGGAATGCTCAGCCCAGRGAGTGTCCCCAAAATCTCAATGCTGGGCCAAGCAAGCCCTTTGAAGATGGGTGAATGCATTGCCAGTGAACCCATGGTCACCGAGACAGCCTCTGAATCTTTTTAATCCTGCCTCCATCAAGAGGATTTCTCAGGAGCTGAACATCCCTGGGTTACATGCCAGCTCGGAGCTCTGTTTCAACCCAAATATTATTATTCCTGAAAACACCATGCTTTGCAACAGCTTCCCCGCTGTGCATTTTCATACGGGTGCTTCAACATTTGTTTTGAGAGCTATCCCGTTCCAACAGCAAACATAAAGATCAGTGTGACCTCCCCTTATCGCTCAGCCTTTCCTGCRTGGAATTCATTGTGATCTGGACCCCAGTGGCCGTTGCATCATTTCTGTTTGTGTGTAACCTTTGGCACCGGGCAATCTTATCTGCCCGCGGCCGGCTGCAGCCCAAGATGTGCAGCAGCACRGCCAGCTCTGGCAATCCTCAAACCCTGCATGGAGCTCAGTGAATGATTAGCAGAGCAAATCTGCAATCCCTGACAGCTCTGAGAGAGAGAGAGACCCKGCTGTGCCCCAGCTCTGCTCACCGATGACGATGAGGGTGTAGTTGACGTTGGTGCTGCCGAAGCCGTTGGTGGCTTTGCAGATGTAGGTGCCCGCGTCCTCGCTCTCCACCTCCTTGATCTTCAGCCCTTGCTGGAGGATTCGGAACCTCGTCCAGCCRCTGTGGATAGTCCGTCCGTCCTTCATCCACATGGTGAGGGGCGGGGGGTCGCCTTCCACCGGGCACAGGAGCTTGATGGTCCTGCCCAGCCTCACGGACTGGCGGTGAATCACTTTATCGGCGATCCTCGGGGGGCCTGGGCAACAGCAGAGACAGGAGCAGTGGTTATGACTTCTGCCAGCGACAAAGCCCGGATTCAAAACCCAGTCATCAATCTGGCCATTACCCTGGCTGCTACACAGGGATGTATGCTTACCAAAAATCACCCATGACCAAAGTGCAAAATGCAGGCAATTGCAGAAGGATACAGCAACAGACATACTGCTTTGTGCAAGAACTGAAGCTGTAGCCTTGCCATCAGCAGCAGCTCGAGCTAACACACCAGGGAAGCCTGCTTCTGAGGCTTTTCCAAAATTTCCAGCATTTTCTTACCACAAGAAGAAGCCCAATACACAAACTGTTCTGCAGTATTTGGTAAAGAAACTATAGTTGTTTTAAACTTAACACCTATCCTGAAGGCAATATTAGTARCAGGAGTGGTACTTACAACAAAACAGTGCTCCCCCTTCAATGTTTTAATCCTTTCATGTTGTATGTACAGTAATTCCCTTTAATAGTCACCAGATGGGCTTTATCTGAGACACATAAGCCCACAGTTGTTAAACACAGAKCATTCACTGGGTAATGCTTCAATGAAAGACACAGCTTAGCCTGACATGTTAACATTGCTTATAGTCCAAAGGAGGGTATTTTTATAAATTTCCTTAGCAACCCTGCTGGTCTGACCTGCCTGACAAATATTTGCTCTTTGTAAAAGGTGATAATTTCATACAAAACAGAGTGTCCCTGGAATGCCAGAGTGAACACRCTGCCACATGATAACAGGATGCACTTGGACAGGCCAACAATCAGAAAAAAAGAAGTGATAACGACTCCACCAGTAGGAATGGTCCCATAGCTGAATTCCAACCGGAATTCCTTCCCAAGGCTCTGAAAAGTTGAAACAGAGAGTCTTTTTTCTGCATCTACCGTTGCTACCTTTTCATTAATTGCACAAGTTCTCCAAACAGATTGCAATAGCAGTGCTCTTCCCAGAATAGTCTATTAATGGGTGTGATAATAAGTGCCCAGTTCTTGCATAAGGACAAAATGTTTTGCTAAGAATTGCTGATGCTGAGTTGCACCCAAAACCCACAAATGTTTGTGGGATTTGGACCTGTTCCCTCATATTTCATTCCTGTTCCCAGTGTTTCACAGGATTGGACCCACAGGGGATAAACTACAGAGCTCGCATTTGCACTTCCTCACGACTAATTCCTATTATTCCAGAGTCTGCCTGATTTTCCCCCAGCATGACTAAGGCAATACAGACAGTCCAGCTCATGAATGACTCCAGAGCTGCTGCTGCAGTTACTCACATTGAATTGCAYCCATGAATTTTGCAGCTTTGCTGGTGAACAGAAGTGCTGCTCAAGCTGAGGAAAGAGAGGTGAACAAGCTTGAYACTTAAGAGAGTTTAACTAAGAGCCTGGTTAAATCAAAGGGTCTTAGCATACACTCAGATTCTGATGAACTTCTGATGACCCAAAGCAAGAACCTTGAGAGCACTTATTCTGAAAAAGTCAGAGATAACAAAGATAACAAAGAAGGCAAAGACAACACCCACCCCTGCACATCTTCTGCAGTCACCTGTGGGACAGCATCTCGGAGATGATGGCAAAACACCACGAGAAATCCTGCCTGTCCAGGTGTTTCTAAAAATTCCAAACCACCCTCATGTTCTTCACCTTGTGAGATTTCCAACTATATCTACAGCTGGAGAGATAACCCCAAGACCTTCTGAATACTGGTCTGACACAAATTGCATTGCTGAACATTTTAAAGTCAAAATCCACCCATGAGGAGGGGCTCTGTGTGTTGACTTTGATAAGGCAGAATTCACAAACACCAGGTGAGAATCCAGCCCAAACTCTGCTACATTTCCCTGCATGGTTCCCTCACTCAGTGCAAAGAAGCTGAAATGCCCAGAGAAGCCCACAGGCTTGCTGAAATTCCAGGCTGGCCCTTGGAGAGGTCCTTTCTGACCCAGAGACCTATCAAACCATGACAAACTTTAAGAGTATCCTCACTGCAACCTGCTTGTGAGCCAGGACACTACTTCATGCATATTCAAATGGCAAAAACAGATCTATAATTAGTGCTGAGGAAAAAAAAATGTTTGGTGCAGGGCAAGCAGGGACAGTGGAGAGAGAGCACACTCCTCCCAACTTGGAAGCCTGCTGCAGGCTCCTTCAAAATCCCTTTCCTTCCGACATTCATGTTGACTCCTGATGAATTTTGAGACCTGGAGGAATCAGATAGTTTCCCAGTCACGTCATGTGCTTCTCTGGGGCAGGCTGCACAAGCGSTGCTCCTGATGGCACCGGAGTTGCCTCTGGATCTGTCACATGTTTGGGTCASTGGTAAGCTTGGTCCTCCTAAATGCCATTTTCCTTTGACTGACCTTTCGTTCTGAGGAGTTGTTGGATCACTCTCTGTCACAGTATCTATTCACAGACCTTTATGACATTCAGAAAAGGGTGAGTTTCTTCGAGCCATTCTGCCTAAAAACATTACTGCAACTCTTCAATAGCTCCTCCAGCAACTTTCTCRGGAAGAGGAATAAAAGTCTCTCCTCAATCTTTTTTCCTACTGTGAATTTTTCTAGATACAGCATGAGCTTGTCAGTAGTGTACACTCTTAGGACAAAGACGGTAAGGCCTTGTTTATTTTCATTTAGTGCTGTAAATATTCCCACTTTATTATCTATCATCTTTGCATTAATTACTTTCTACAAGCAGTACTCTCTGGAATCAGTGTTTTGATGTAAATACCAAGCACCATGATAATTATTACAACATTGTAATTTACTACTGTGTTTACGAAGAACCACAATATAATTCAGCACCTTCACACACGCCAGGAGCTGCAGAAGCCCTGGCAAGCCAATGGTAGCTGCACCTCCTCAAGCTGGGCTACAGCAAGAATAAAATGTTGATATCATCACGGATGTCTGTCTCTCTTTCTCATGTGCAAGCATTCATTGGGTCTTATTTCACTACATATCTGTAGAGCCCTGCCRTGGGACTGCAGCAGTGACGGATGGATGCTTTTCCAGTCAAGACACACTTTGGCACATCTCTCCTCTCTGCACCATCAGAGGCAGAAGAGGAAGCAGCAGACAGGGGGAAATGTGTTTTGCAAAAAGCACCTTCTCCAATATCCCCTGGGCAGAGAGGGTGGTACTGACACAGCGCTGCCTCACCCACTGTCCAGGCAAAAACATCTTCCTCCTTTGAATCTATGAATTAATCTGCTCAGCACCACTCAGGTTGTCCTGGAGGATAATGTCCAGGATTTCTCTATGGCAGCTCCATCTCCTGCCRTACGATCAGAGCAAAAAGATGTCACAAAACCATGCTGAGCCTGCTGATTTACCACGTGCAGCACTGACGGGAGCTCCCCTCCTTCCAGAAGTGGCCCATAATGAGTTGGGGGTGTCCAGGAGAGCAGAGTGCCCTGTTAGCTGTCCCAAGGCGCTGATTTGGGAGCGTCCCTGGTGTGTGACCCTGCAGGGCTGGGGCACGTGTGTGCTCACAGCTGAGTGTGGTGGGGTGGGAGCAGAGCCCAGGGCTCCAGCCCTGCAGCCTGGATATATTTCTACAGCTGCTTAGCAAGGCAAAATCCCAGGAAAGCACCTGCTGCTTCACCTACAGCTGCCAGGGAGGTAAAAACAGGCTGAACCCGGGCTGTAGTCACTGACTTCCCATCCCTCGCTGCTGCCAGCGCCTGTCCCGTGCTCTAACGCAGCAGTAAAAGGCAGATGAAATTACTCCTTGAGCAGCCAGTGTCGAGATCCSTGCTGTGCTGGCTCCAGCTTTGTGTTGAGTGTGAGCAGAAATGATYTAACAGGGTGCAATACCCTATGGCTGCTCCCTACAGCGCTGCTCTGGCCTTGCTTGTGAGCAGGGCATCACCCCAAGAACTGGAGAGCAGCACCACAAGGGATCGTTCTGAAATCCAGAAACATTTCATTAAACCAGACTGTTAAAACAGTGAATTCATATGTTCACCAACACAAAATTAATGCCAATATATACCATCTCTCTGGGTAGGGAGGAATCCTGTGGGCTGCCCCGTGCCTGCACTCAYGGGTCAAAGCTCCAGACTGGCAGAGCAAGTGCTCTCTGGCCCCGAGTGTAAATCCTGGGGGAGTCCCCTCTCTGTGCTCCCCCTGATTTCTTAGCCMTTAGCCAGTGATTCTTGAAAACATCAGCCTTTTTTAAGTTCTGAGAATCTCCAATCTGTGACGCTCCTGGACACAGCAATTACTTCCTGCAGCATTTTATCACAGGATACAGGAGAAGGGCATGGAAACAAGGTCTAGGTAGATATTCCATCCTTACATAAAGAATTTCATGCATTTTTGTACTTGGGAGGGAAGGGGGAACCCTTGCAGTTTTCCAGCAGGCAAGGACAGCTCTCTACAGCCACGGGGCACTGTTTTTCAGTCCCACCATGGTGGAGAGGGTGCAGCTGGTTCCACAGCCTGTCTGAACAGAAGGAGCTCTCTCACAAGCTAAGCCCCACCTCAACACAAGCCCAGTGGAGGCAGGTTCTCCTCAGTCTTCACCCCAATAGTTTGAGAGAATCGTTTCTTTAACACTGTGGCCCAGGGGAAGGGTGGGGTTTGACATCCATGGATGTGGCTCRGGATGAAGCGATGAGAATGCAGCTGCCTCCCCCCCACCCCGTGCTTCGTTGTTATTCTTTCTCCAAATACAAACTAAAAATAACTTTGCCCCATAACATTCAAATCATTTTAGTTACTAGCAGGGATCATGCYTGGAGTTCCAAGGGCCAGGGTGCAATCAGGCTTAAAATATCATTTAAACAATCCAGAACCTACATTTTTCACCAAGTTTTCTTGCTTGTAGTTTCCCCATCCGCAAATACATATAAACACTGCCAGAAAGAAACCAACAAGCTCAGCCAGATGCCAAGTTTTCTGTTCAAGATCATATAAACCCAGTCAAACATTAACAAGGAAATGCCRTGATCACCTCATTTGTTTTAAATATTTCTGCTCATATACAT